TGAACCCACAGGATCTCCACTGCAAAAAGAACTAAAAGCCAGAGCAGGGGTTTGCTGAAGACACGGGTTATTTCAATCCAGCATATGCCCTTCGTTCATTTAGAGCTGTCACATTTTGGCGTCATCCAAAAGCTTTTTCTGCCCTTCTCTAGTAGTTTTAGTTGAAGTACAGTTGTCTGAGGACACAACAAACCCTCACCTGAAATAGGATAAACAAGCAAACAGCTCTTTCATTTATTAATCTGTGACTCTCTTAATGCAGAATCGCTTCTCCAGGCGGACCCAGAGCCCATTGACACCCCATTTTCTCCGGACACTGCTTGATCACTTCCAAGGACATTAAAAAAATACACGTGTTCTGAACACCCGCCCCTGCTAGCGCAGGCCCTGAAAACAGGTAGTTTAAGCCCTCCTGTTAGTATCACTGAAGACGTTACCCATGTGTATTTCCATCGCTTTCTAAATCCTAGCCCGCCAGAAATAAATATGTTGTGGCAATGAGTTCCACAGGTTACACGTTGTGTACAAGTTTTAATTAAAAGTTAAATAATTTAAGACATTTGTTTACAGGCAACAGTAGCGGTTGCTCACTCTGTACATTGCATTTATTAGACATCAACAAGGGAAAACAGAACATTTGGCACAAGAATGCCAATTTTTTTTTTTTATTATTATTTTTGGACACATGAACACAAAATATCCCTGCAGGCTAAAAAAAAAAAAATACATTGCAAGTTGTACACGACCAGCATCTTATCGCAACATGGGGCTGCTAACCCACCCATAACAGCTTAGAAAGAGTACCTCGTATTGCTATAGACATACATCCAGTCCAAAGTTAATAAAATACAATTTTAAACATTACAAGTCTAACAATATAGAAACAAAAATTACATCGTAAGTCAAAATGAACAAATGCAAACATTTTACATTGAAGTTTCAGCCTCTAGACATAGAAATATGAAAATGTCAATAGCAAGGTATAAGAAAATCTGTAAGTGATATTACAAGATCTTTCCTCCAGTGCACAAGGAAAAAACCTTGTAGTTGAGACAGTATTGATACAATGCCCTCCGAACCCTGCCTTCCGAAAATGAAAGCAGAGTTACTCCCTTGCTATTGAGCAAGAAAAATCCTACAGCACATCCACAAAGGTAGTCTGGGGGTGGGTTCTGTTAAACACCGGATCGGAACAGAGGGGCCCTTCCCCGTGGGACGGGCAAAGCTGAGGTTCGGTCACTCTGACGCTTGCGTTGGGACGCGGGACGTGCTGCGCGAGGCGTGTTTCACCCACGCATGGCCACCTCTTGCGCCCTTTGGATGCAGCTACAGGCACGACACTGAACTGTGGTACTCACAACAAGAATACGTAAGCCAGGCTGTTCAAATGTTTGAGACGGGCTAACGAGTGATGGCCAGAGCTTGTTCAGAATTCAGCTGTTCACAAAGCAAGCAGAACTGGTTTGAAAGTGGGATTTCTGCCTTTTTTTCTGTTTTTCTTTTTACATGTCAACCACCCCCTTCCCCAACTCTTTTAAACTTTGCTACATTTAAAATCTTGCACACCACATAGCTAAACAGTGGCCAACAGGCTTTATTTATAAAAAAAAAACAAACAAAAGAAAAAACAAAAACAAACCCAAAACACCCTAAGAACTACATCTACAGAATGCACATCTTCCCATTGATTGACACATGCATAACGATTCGGTCAGTCCCAAGGGGTTAATCCAGACCTCCGGCATTGGCCGCAGACCTGGGTAGGACAGCACTGCCCAGACCTTGATCTTACCCTTTCCACCACGCACCGGTCCCGAGCGTCAGCGCTCTGCTCCCAGACCCACAGCACAGCACCCTCACCCGCGTTTAGGGCTGCTCAGCAGGAGATGGAGTCGAGGTTCTCGCCTGCGTCCCGGGGCCAGCTGAGGTCTCACAATCCGCATAGTCTGAGGTTAAATATTCAGTCCAGTCACAGGCAAACAAAGGAGCGGCTCTCACTTCACTCAATCTGAACTAGGAATGCTTGGCACTGGACAACTAACTACCTGGTGATAAAATTAAGTATTTCTTACGCACCCTCAATTAAACCAGTCACATCCTTGCCTAGTGCACTAACTCAAAACAGCGATCTTTGATCCTATAACCTAAAAAAGGGTGCTGAGTTTCTTTTCAAGGTGCCAAAGTTCTCCACGTGTGTTGGGTCAGTCAGAGTTCATTCTAAAAAGGGGGTTTTTGTATTCTCCCTGAACGAGTACTGAGAAAAGCAGCCATCTAGCTGAAGCAGCGGTCAGTCTCCCACCCACATGTCCTGATTTTATTACACAAGTGAGGTATTCTTTAAAAAAAAAAAAAAATTAAAAAAAAAACTAAAAAGAACCTTTTTTTTGTCCTTCAATATAAACCTGCCCACAGTACATGCCAGGAGCAGAGTTCACTTCAGTCTCATTTTCAACAGAAAAGAAAAACGTTTAAACTTAATTTAATGAGACATACTACTTGAAAGAAGGTTATAAAACTGTTTGAAGACTGAGTTCAGTGTACTCTGGTACAACTGAAAAAAACAGCATTTAGAAATGTAAACTTTAATTTATTTACAAGCTTAAAGACTGAAGGAAACAGCATTTCATATTGCTGAAATTTTGAGGGGGCTGGTTCCTAAGCTTTGGAACAGCAGAGAACTTAGCAGCAAACCCCACACGAGTATCAGAGACCACAGTGCAATCGTTGGACTTCTCAAACTTCTGTTATCAAAGTAGCGGTGTTGGCTCTACTCAGTTTAGGAATAAGCTTTTAATCTGCGCTAACTCACGTTAACACTAAGAGGAATCTAGTCTTAACCTACTATGTTTGTGGATTCCAAGAGTACGCAGGGAAACCAAGCCCCTCTGCTTTCTTACACGTTGCAGCTGAAAAAAGCCAAGCAGATTAAAAAAACCCTAATTTCTAGGCTGGGACAGAATCAGATGATGAGTCTTACATTGGTTAAAAACATGCTGTTGAATGCAGTTGTGTGCGCAACCTAGATTCCCAGGGAAAAAACGTTTAAAATGCTGGTACAAGTCCTCAGGTTGCCTGTCACACAGTACGTTTAGACTGTACAGATTGGCAAGCCTTTCCTACACGTAACACCCAGTTTCCAAGCTTATAAAAAATGTTGTAGACAGGACACCAACAGTGAATATAAAACAGTTAAAAATAATTCTTAAAAAAAGCATGGAAGTGCGTCTTTTCTAATTAGTTTCAGAAACTGCCAAATTGTGTGTTCAGAAAACGACACGAGAATGTTGGTTAAACTCATGCACAATCCTCAGCTAGAAAATTACACTGTTAGGGGGCTTAAAAAACAAATATTTATTGCCAAAGTTAAACCTTCTATGAGAAAAAAGTTTTAAAATCACTTAGATTTATCAAACCACACAGCAGCATAAAGTGGGCACTTTTGTAAAAGTTTGCAAAATACCTAAAAGCTAATTTTTTTTTTGTTTTTATCATTTTTAGAGGGGGAAATGATGGTTCAGTACTTGTTACGATACCATGGCAGTATTATTTATAACCATTATAATTAAAATCTACTGACAGGCATCACTATCTGGTTATATTACACATTCACAGAACAAGAACCACCTATTTGAATTCGCAGTATAGTGCAATTGCTTTGCAGCCAAAGTCTGCAGAGATTAAAAAGATAATCAGTAAAACTGACAAAAAACTGCAATACCTGTGAAAGTTATGCTGTTAAAAGGCATTTACAGTAGTGAAGTCTAAAATCTCCATTAAAAAATCTATGGCCCCACACAATAGAACAATTACATTTAACTGGAGTAAAACATTTTGCCATAATATGCATACTCACTAAGCAGTGCACGAAGACAGGGAATCAGTCGTCATGATAAACTAATGGGATGAGAAGATAACTTAAAAACGATAGCTAGCAAAATATTCAATAGAAACCTTTCATGCCAAGTCCTTTAAAAATTTCAGGATGATCGGCCTTTTGCGCTTTGAGGTAAAAATTCAGTCCAATGCATCAGAAAAGACAGTCTATGAATTTCTAGTACACAAAATAATGAAACAAATGGCTCAATTGTGTCGGTGCATCAGACATTGCTGTGAAGTACAGATTCAGTGCGACTGTTCAGAGCTGCTGGTAGCGGGCAGTCTGAAATCAGCTGGGCCCTAGCTATCGCAGTCGGCATTCAAAACATTTCAGGACTGCATGGGTTGTTGGGTTTGCCTCATCTTCCCAGGTGCTCTCAAGCAAAATACATCGTATGCTGAGTATCGTGGTGGATCTGCACTGCCTTTGCCAGAGCCTGAGGATCACGGCCGTTGCTCTGTCCTGACACGTGGCTGCCTTCAGCACTGTAAAGACGCAGACGCATCAGAGAACCATGAAGAATTGGGCCAAGCAGCATATAATTCGAGTCCATTACCTGGCTACCAAGCCGAGGAGGCACGGTTCCTTACCTGTCGTGATCCTTGTCCACGAGATGGTACCTGGCTCTAAATGCTACCAGCCTGGCGTAGTACGCAGGAGCCGGAATAGAGACTGATCGCGTACACCGGACATACGTGTGACACAGCTGATACGTCAACAGCTGTAGCTCATCTGCAGTAAAACAGTTGTCATCCCACAAGACCTGGTAGTGGGAGGGCCGGCTGGTTCCCTGCGGAGAACAGGGGAGCATCAGCAAACACAGAGGTGGTACCTGCAGGCTGTACCTTCCATCAGTGCACTGAGGAGTAAGTGCCAAACGGGCACTGAACTGATGCGACTGTAAGTCTGCCAAGCTATAAATAACAGCAACATTACTCATCAGGACAGCGGCAGGGGTTTAGTCCCACAGCCCGAGCACAGCGGAGCTGAAACGTTACCTGAATCCCCGCATGGCTACAGAGGTAAAAGTCAAATTCAGAAGGATGTGTGATCGTGCTGTCCACAGTAGTGCCCGCTGGTACGTTGCCGCTCTTACCCACCTATTGAGGAAAGTTTATTATTAGCCCATGGTTTTTTTTGGAAGTGACCCAAAAATACCTCCTAAGGTAGGCTCTACTCAAAGCTGTTTGAGAATTTACTGCTCAAAAAGGTGGAAAAATATTAAGGTCATTTACATAGGAGGAATGAAAATGTTCTCTGAGAGTCCATTTTTAGAAACTTCACCAAATCCAATTGGTGTGTCATCGGAGAAAAATAAAATACTTGCCAGCACCATTAAAATTGCCGAGTGGGATAAAGCCTACACAAGTGATTCAGGATCTGAAAACGCAGGCTTTCTGGAATAAATTTATTTCATACCCTTGTTTGCACTCACACCCCAGAGATCTGTATTTTTTAAGCAAAACTGAGATCAAGAACTTTCCTAAAGAAGGTTCTTTAGTTGGCTTGTGGATTTATGCCATAGGCAAATCTTACAGACGCATCTGGAGACAGCACAGGCAACAAACTGAACAGCTCGTTCAGTTTATAGTCAGGAATCCCAGACTATAAAAACCCAGGCTACAGCTCCAGATACACAAATACAGGGATACAGAGTACGCCTACTCCAAAAGGGGCTGGGAACAAGCTGTTCCATCTGACCGCTTGGTCTAGAGCAATAAAAAAGGGGAGGAACTGGTTATTTTGGTAGAGAAAAGATGTTACTGCACAGAGCTGCTACTGCTCCTAGAGGTTAATTCCGTTCTAGTGGGCGAGATGGATTCCACCCCACTTAACCAAACAATCTTACTTTCCTGTTGCCATCACCTCCTTCTTATGTAGTCAACATTACTTGCCCTTTCTGTTTTGTCAGCACAGAATAGTCTGGTGTGATGCCTTTTCTGCACAACAATGTAGGTTATTCCTGGTCTATAATCTTCTTCCAAACTAATACAGGCCTTCCGGATTGCTATCAGTTCTGGCCAAGCTACCTAGAAGTAGAAGATTTCACTATTAGGTGCTGAATTCAGTACATATATTACTACTTTCATATTTTTTTTCCATGTACAAATGCTACTTTGTAAGAAACATGATCAGACAGGATAACTGTACGTTGTGCTTGCCCAGGAAAACTCCATCAAACTGTTAATTGTGCCCTTAGCAAATGCAATCCACATAAATATATATATCTTCAAGGCCAATCCCTTTTCAGAAGCAACAAGGAATCGTTAGACAATACCTGCTTCATCTGCCCTTCTGATACTCCCCCTCTGTAGTAAATGATCCTTGTGGGCTTGAAACGAGTGGATTTGTAAAATTGGATCAATAGTTCTCGCACCATATTAGTCAGGTCCTGTATCACCTCCTGACTGTACAGCAGCTCCTGGGAGGTCTCCTGACGGGAGGTCTGCACGCGCACTGTAGCGCAGTAGCGGCTCGGATGGCCGTCCATGCTGCCCACCACCGCAGCGATGGAAGGCTTCTTTCCATCCCCAGCAGGAGGGTGAGTGACATCTGCTCCCAAAAAGATCACTGGCTGCTGGAACACCGAGGGCCTGTTTAATATGATTAAGGTTTATTAAACAATAAATAATAACCATAATAATACAAAGACGGGTGGTAAGGAAGAAAAAAACCCTACAACTGAGGAAAGTATATCCTAACGATTCAACAGAACTAAAACCCTGTCAGAATATTTAAGGACAAAGTTCTCTGCCTCAAGCTTTTGCAGTCCAGAGAGAACAGAAAGTGAAAAGGAAGGGGCCAAAGACAAAGTTACAAGCGTTTATCAAAAGTCACTCTTCCTTACTCCTTTTCTTTCAATTTGGAAGGAAATACAGTATGCTTAAGGAGGTGACAAGAGGAAAAGGTAGACTGAGTGAACGTAAAGGCAGGAAAGAGATATGGGGGGAAAAAAAAGCCTTTGTGAGCTTGTTCTCACACGCACTGCTGGATGGCTCTGTCACTAGAGATGAGCCTCAGCACAAGGCTTACAAGGAAGATTCTGAATGCAGAAGCATCCTTCTCTGTCCACTTCAGACTGTGGGTATTTCTAAAGCGTGTAATAGCACAAAAGGTTATCATTTTAGCAAACAAAACGAAATGACAGCCTTTTGCTTGACAATCCAGACTTCAAGGAGAGCTTTAGATTTAATCTCACCTTTGATGAGGTACAAGCACGTTGTTGATTCCTCCAAGCTTCGCATTTATCTTCAGACACAGGTTGGACAGCGTTTGTGGTGAGGTTTTTACCACATTCTTTACCTGAACGCACTGAGTCGCCATTCCTAGAAGAGTGTCACCAACCCGCTTTACTTCAGCTGTGACAGAAAAAAAGTGGCTCCAATTACCTGACCAGTCAGTAGTTCCACCTGCTTTCTCTCTCCCTCCCTCCCTCTCACCCCCTCGAAATGTTATTGTAATTCATATACTTAAAAGCTCACCAACAAAGGTTCAGTTTGCTCTTGGTAATATACAAATGCCCCAATCATGCCTGACAAACCCATCTCCAAAAACACCTTTTAAACAAAATATTGCCTGCTCTGTCTCCTTCCCACTGCAGAAGCGCACAGTGAGATGGCCACTTGCTGTACAACTAATTAACGCTTGACAGCCTCTTCTCCATACCGTACACGGGCGTCTTTCCAGGCAGAATCACCACGATCAGCTGCAGACCGACATAAGTCAGTTTTAAGTGTTTAAACATGGGCTCCACACTGTCCGCACCCTGGGCGTATTTACAGAAACAGGGCTGGCCTTGGATCGGCATCCCTGCATCCTTGGAGATCTTGCGCAGCTGGTCCGTAAAACTCCTGTGAATGAAATACAAATGGATGTGCCCTGGCTTTTTCGCTATGTTTCACTTTGCCGTTAATTTTATCAACAAGATCTAAGCTATTTCAGCTATTGCACAGCACTTCCAATTTGACACTACAGTAATTATTTTTTAGCAGTTCTATCACTATAAGAAACTCACTGACAGGATTCTAATCCTGTTTGAGGAGGTTTCATAAGCCCCTGTTTCTGCAATTTTAGAAGTCTTGGGGAAACAAACATACATTTGAGCTGAACATTGAGGCAGATTCCCAAACTAATACTGATGCTCTGGTAGATTCTTTTACTCCTCCACCAAACTTATCTGAGCATTATTGCAGCCATGATTTTTGCCAAACATTTCAGCGGTTCACACAACCTCTGTCTTTAGGATTCTGTAGAGTAATTTGAAGTACAGGGGAAAAAACATCGTGTATGTTGCGTGGGTGCCAGTAAAGGTTAAGAAAAAACAGTAGTTCCTGTTTTAGAATGAACGACCATAATCAGTTATTTGTAAAAACAACAGAATACAAGCGGAATGCAGTCTCCAGAGCAGGAAACACAGCCGCAGTGGTAAGGGAATTAATGCTTTTCCTAGCTGGCCAATTAGGTTATGAACTTTGCCATAGTCTCCTCCCAAATTGTAAATATTTAAGACACTGCAGAACTGTCATTTCCTCTTTTTACTATTAGATGCATTAAAGTCAACTTATATTGCGTATCGCCTTCCAGAAATATGAGGAAAATAAACCTTGAAATAAGTTTCCTGAATAAATAGGAAAATACTTACTTTAGTAAGTCTTCCCTGCATTGTTTTTGAGGAGCAAAACAGGCAACAGCCCAAACTTTAATCTCAATGCCAGCATAGAACTGTTTCCCTCTCATGTCCCACACACCTTGGTTTGGTGTGGCCACAGTCTTGTTCTAGGTAAAAATCCAAAGGCAAAGTAAAAATAAAATGCTGCTTTGTTTTGACTATAGCCAAACACAGTGCTCGTACAAAGGAAGCCTTGTGAGAAGATACAGAGAGCACTTAATGAATTTAAATAACCTCAGGACAAGGTATTTGACAAGACATGGAAAACTCACCCTGCCTCCATATTGCAGCATTGGTGCTGGCAAAACTCTGCCTGTCAACTCTGTCATTTCATTATGGACAACAATACCAAACTCCTTCAGGTATGGATCAGGTCCACCAACCATACTGTTACTTTTCACCTGGTGAAAAGAAATGTATTTAAGTAGCTACACCAAATGCTTCGGGTAGCTCTGTCCTCTTTGCCATGAACAGGCTATCTATTTAAAGGGATTTGGTTTTTTTTTTTTTTAAAAGTATTTGATTTTTTAACTTCTGCAGTTCCGGGTCATTCTGCTTATCATTACATGTGCTACAATGCTTCTGGAAAAGCTGTAAGTGACAAACGCAGACTGTTCAGCTGGAAAAAACACTTACTAGTCTGCTGATTTCTTCCTGTCGATCCGGCGCAGATCTTGCAGTTGCTTTTATCATAGTTGACGTCTGATTGTCTGTTAGCTTCTTGATACATCTCTGGCCTGCCACTATGTTACACACCTACACAGGAACAGCGAGAGGTGGCCTGATCCCGTGTAACAGAGGGATACACCGCAATGCAAGAGAAACTGAGATTCTTACCTCAAGTGGTAAGTATGTGTGTTTCTGTTCCTGTCCTACTTGGAGACAGGGAAGGTGAGGATATTTTAGCTGCAGACTGTATTTCTGCTTAAAATACTGAGCTACTGTGCACTCCATAGCCTGCCCATTTTCCAGCTGCAGGGGAAACCTATAAAGGACATTTGTTCTGGTTAGACTTTTCAAGTTTTTTTTTTTTTTTTAAAGGGAAAAAAGGTATGGAAAAATCTATTCCAGACTAGAAATGCTGGAAACATTTATTTTCCTTAGCTACTGGATCTCTTCTTTATGAAAAAATTTTACTGACTATATACTGAATTTTTCATAGCCATTTTTAAAATTACAGCCTTTGATAACTATATGTAAAAGCCAGGATACAACTGCAATTTTCCTGTGTTGAAGGAAATAAAGCAGTTGTCTAAACCTACGCTACTCCTCTACTCCACTAAGACTAAACATTCTTGTAAAGCCACACAGCTGCTTCACCTCCAGAATCAACTGTTTTTCATACACAATATACATAGTACCTATAATAGGTTCAACATTTTAAAACTGGTCAGAAAGTGCTCGTATACATACGTCTGATGACTGGCTGGTCGCCGAGTAACGTTGCAAACTCGGTATTTTCTCTTCATCTGGCCACAATGGGTAACCTCTACTTTTAGACCTGAAAACCCAACACAAAAGTCATCTAAATAAATTCCAGCACAGGAGTCACCTTTGAGAAGGATGAGGGCAAAAAGGAAGATGTCAGCTTCCCAAGCGCCTTGCAAATTATCGTTACAATGTAATACGAGCAGGTTTCCAGTATTTTGTTGCAGCACCTTGAGAACAAGCCTTTACCTCTGATTTCTTTGGTAAATTTGACGCGCTGGGAGTCTGTAAGAGGCTTGGTTTGTTCATTGATGTTCTGGATGTCCAAGACCTCACACATGAACTCAATGATAGGCTGGGCGCGATAGAAAGCAGTCGCTGACACTATGATAAAAAAAGAAGACATTTCATTTAGAAGCAGCGAGAACTCCGTTGCATTAGTGAGACAGAATTTCCTACATACCATCAATGTTGAGCATCATGTTCCACATGGCAGGCCTGACCGACTGGTGGAAACCGAACCAGACCTCCCTGCCGCCTCCCAGGGGGTGGTAATAACCTTCAGGAGGGGAGAAAAAGGAGCGACCCACAGGAGTGTACCTGAAAAACATAAGAAAATTAATACTGTCATCATTCTTTTCCGATACTCCTTTTTACATTCACGCTTATAGCATTTGAAAGTACAGTAAATTTCTACAGCACGTTAGAACTGTTAGAGCTAACTTATGGCAAGCACACAAAGCCTTTACCGACAGCGCAGTTGGAAAGGCTACAGCAAATTCCTGTTAGAAACATGACCAGCAGACACAAGTCCTGAGTTCAGATCAGATTTCCCTATTCTAGTGTAAATTTGTAAGGCAGGCGTCTAATTACACAACTGCATCCCTCCTACCGCAGGAAAGCGTTAATTGCAGTAGAATAGCAGCAAGTAATAACCAATACAAACGTTAAGACAGATCTAAGATTAAGCCAGTCAGGAAGGCACCCAAAGTACCCACCTCATGGAGGGAAGGTGCCGTGTGATTACATCAAGCGCCTGTACAGAATCTTCAGGAACTTCATTCAAGTGCCCCGCCAGAGCTTCCAGCAGCAGCTGAAGGCTGACGACTGACACCCACTGAATGGATACTTTAAATGTCTGGTCCTTCCCCTCTCCTGGAAGTGTTACCTCCATATCCACCTGACAGAGCCAGAACAGGATACAGCATGAGCTTTTGTTACGGATTGCGGACTATCACAACACTACGCAACCTTATGTTTTTCTCCTAGGTAACCTCCGAATCTATATTTTTGACGATTAGTTTGTGTAATTCTCTTAAAATATCACAATTGGTTGCCTTAGGATTTTGAAAGCTTGTAATTTATTCATCTAAGAAACTGCAGTGAGGTATCTTTAAGTGCAAATTTTAAGTAGTAATTAGTATGGTGACATCAAAGCTCTGGAGAACTCAGTCTTTTTAAGTCAGCCAATTAATAGCAAGATGTCTTGTGAACCAAAAGGAAGGCATAAAAAACCCTTTTCGTCAAAAAGAAGGTTCACTGGGAAACACAAATCTCAGAGTTCCAGCACAGTACTTGAGATCATTGCAGGGGGCTTGAACTAGATGGCCTTTAAAGGTCCGTTCCAACCCAAACTATTTTATGATTCTATGATTATTCTCACACGCCACCAGCCCCAAGCATAAACGTGAACTCTATTTTACGTATTCCTCGTGGCACTGTACCAGCAATAACCAGATCCCTGGGGGGAAGAGCAGGCGGGTTACGTTGTGTATCAGCAGTGGTTAGTACATTCTGCAATCTGTTAGAGCCAGGGCGCTGGCAGCACGGCCCAGAACACGAAGGGCCAGTGCAGCTGATCTCATTGTTGACAGTACTTGTGCCACACGTTCTTACGGAACAGGAGGACGTATCTCAACAGTGCAGCCAAACCAAAACAGCGTATTTTGCCATCTACAACTACTTTATCATTTAGCAACAGATCAAGGGTTAGAACAGAGAAAAGGGAAGTTTCTATCGGGATGAAATAAAAAAAAACCAACAATCTACTTGCAGCGGAAAGAGCACAACATACTAATTCGCACTATCACTGGCAAATTCTCCAACTAAACAGCTGGGCATCAGAAACCCAAAGATGACAAAATTCAGTAAAACACCAATAAGTCCCTAGAGATCCCCAACTGGCACTGCCTGTTGTTTCCAAGGCTATACTAACACATGTGACAGCATTTTGGGTTTGTGTCAATAAAAGAATACTTTTCAGACAATACTGTAACAGTTTCCCCACAAAAACTTAAAACTGCTTATAGTAACACTTACTCTATCCCGGCCTATAGGTAATGGGTGTGCAGTATACATGTTCCGTTTCCCATCGTATCCAGGCTGCCGATCACCGAATATCTGCATCTTGAAGTGCCTCACCATAGTATCCACCACCTCTCTACAGAGGGATTTACCGAGTTAGGTTGAACACAAAATCCAGCAATGGTCTTACACAGTTTGAAATTCCATTTTCACATTTTCTTAAATGAGCAAGGAAGGAGAAACAGCAATGCACCAGAGTATATTCAGTTCAACACCAGGAGTTTTAAAAGTGACCTCCAGATTAAGACACCTAAATTTCAACATACAGGTCTCTACAGGCAAGGCAGGTAGCCGTAATGCCAGCAGAGACATGGGCAGCACCGGCAGCAGAATGTGGAGAGCTGTTCAAACACAGCAGTAAATACCTGCCTTGCGGTGAGTGGGGGTGCTCTGGGTGTTGATTCTGCTGACAAAGCAACCATATGGGAACCCTAAAATGTTGCCATCCACCTGCAAGCTGAACTCCCTCCGCTCAGCTGCTAACACACATTTGTATAATAGACTGTGGCACAATTATTAGGGACATTCACTTGCAGACTGGAAAATAAAACCACCTGTAGTTCAACGCTTAGTACATTTCCTAGAGCCTCCCACATTACAGGCCAAACATCTTAATAAAAATAAGGAGAATATTATATTACAGTTCACTGAAGAGCAACTGCTAACCATGGTACAAACATATTAGCAGATGAAGAATTTCTAGGTCGTACAGTTTTCTTAAATTGAGGCACATACACTTTTAAAATTTTTTTATTAAACAACTCATACCTGTTCACTCTTCGGGGGCGTTTTTCTGGTTTGATATCTACATCGTAGTGATAAACATCAATCTTAGGGATCTGAACCTGAAAATGGTTGGCGAGGAGGCGGATGGGTTTCCCAACAGTCCCCAGGCCTGGGCGACGGGGCGGCTGGAAAAGGCTTGCCGGGGGCCCTAGGGAAGTCAAATAAATATGCATGAGATGTAATTGATCATTCAGTGCAGTATCATTTCAGGTGTACTTTAGCTGAAACATCTTTCTGACAGGGCAGAAAGAAACCTTAAGTCGCTTTCTGAGGTTGCAAATGGAGGTGTTCCAGGCGGCACACAGCCTTCCAGCTGCTCGGAACTTTCAGGTAAAAAAACATATTCCCTAAAGCATATATAGATTAGTGCCGTAATTCATCCTCAAAGTTTTAGTGACATTTATTCATGACTGTGGTTATGAACTTGACAGAGTCCTGAATGGAATGCAACCATTTACATATTAAGTATTTTTATATAATGTAAAGATAAATATATTCCTATCACCATTTCTAGAACTAGCCAGTAATCACACAAGCCACATTTTTTCATCTTTTTTCACTGTAATCTTAAAGTTCAGATGTTAATAATTGTCACTCCTGGAATACTTAGGACATACATCCCCAATTTTTATCTGAAAATTGATATTACCTGGAAATAGGTAAGGGATATTTTTATTCTAAACTAAATTTAAAACGTATTTCCATATTGGATCTAAGCTAAGACAGTTCTGTCGTTTCCGTTACATCACGAACAGATCACTTTTGTTAATAGTGAAATACTTTTCCCCTAGAGCACAATTTCAGCCAATTTAAAACTCCAACACAAAGAAAGCAGTGAGGAAAGGTTTGGGCTTTCTTCTAAGAAGACAAGTAAGGAAGAAAGCATAAAGACAGGTACAGACTCCTAACAGATGTGGAGAAGAATTGATTTGGGCAAAAGTAAAAGCTTCAGGAACAGTTCTAAGGAGGAAATTATTAGAGGCTTCAAAAAGTACTCACACACAACTAGCCACTAGTTAAGTCTTTAGTTAACTTCCTCAAAAGCGTTAAGATCTGAGATACCATGTTAACAAGATTAAACAGCCTTTTTTAAAGTCTATCACTGCCTGAGTTCACACGGCGCATAAACCAAATTGAATTGGTATGTTTTCATGGATTTTGTCTGTATCTGCCAGTGTTTAGTGTGATCAAAGCTTCTTTCCTCTGTTGTAGAGTAGGAAAGGCAAGGGGGGGGGGGAAAGTATTACAATACAAGAATGCAGCAATAAACCAATCATAAAACTTAGGGCAAATTTAGTATCGTAAGACTGTGTCAACCTGCCAGTATCCGTTTAAGTCAAAGACTCACAGTTCCCAGGAGGGAAGAGAAGTAGATAAGCTGTTGGAGGATGAAACTCATATCTGGGTATACTTCAGGGTGCAGCAATAAAACTTTAACACAATCCTAAACCAAACTCAGGAGCAAATCCAAGGAGCCTTCTACACCAAGTTTATAAGTCACCCAATGGCTACTACGTGACCACTTAAAATTACTGATCTGAGGACAGCAACCCTGGAGTATTTTTAAGCAGAAGTAACCCTTAGAGCGTGTAAGCAGCTGTAGCCCACTCAACACGTCAGCTCCCCAGCGCTGCAGCAGCGGGGTGGCTGCCGGGGCCACAGCCATCCCACGCGACACATCGCTGGCTCTGCGCGCCCCTGACTAATTGCGACCCATCCAGGAGGAGCGTGCGGTGCCATAGTGAAACCAGTTGTGGGGTACAGTTAGTACTTTAAAAAACTACAGCTGTCTTGACAAGCGTGAATCATCAAGGGCAATCAAAGTTTGCTGTGCTTATTTGGATACTAGAGAGATGATCCATTAATCCTGTGCTAATTAGTCTGAAGTAACTGCAGGCACTGACCTCCTGCAAGAGATTAAATGACAACTATATTTACCCATTTTCCTCCCTCGGTATTGACAAGTTCTGTAAACAGGCATGGCAATGCTGACCTCAGTCAGTTTTGATCAAAGGAGATAAAACTTACACCTTCTCCTTTCTAAAGTTATTTCTCAAAGGACTCCAGAGAGTAAGAACTGTTCTCCCATCTGAAGCCAGGTCGCCCGGCAAGTCACACTGATTTTATCAGGATTTTTACCTGATCAGCCTTCCTAGAGTTATATGGGCTGTTACTCATTTGATTTCTTCTATTCTGTGTCGATCATGTATTAAGCACCCTCAACCACGTCACTTCAGACAGGAAGCAGTTTTACAAAACGAAAAGAGGATCTACTTCTGCAGCTGGAAGCCAGTGAGGACACGCTACAGCATACATACATACATACAGCAGACTACCCAGGTTAGCCCTCCGCTAGCTTAAAATCTGGATTCTTCTGGAATTGCACCTTTGTGTCAATAAACAGTTCCTATCAAACCAAAATTAACACTATTTCGAGTATACCAATAGTTTGATCAGGAACTTGATGGATAAGATGTGCAGACTGCTTAGGTCAAGCAATACACCTCGCAGACGTTTGACAGAAGAATAATCATGGAATAAGACGCAAGCAGGAAAACGCCACGTGCAAAATACCACCAATATTTAACCAAAGTTTGTTAAAAAAAGAAAATAACGGCCGTATTTTCAGAAAGCATCACCTTAAACTCTTCGTAATGGCTCAACGTCAAAAATACAACCCGTTGCTGTCAGCTCGGCGGGCTCCCGTACGGGGAGCACAGCACCGCGCGCCCCCGGAGCCCCCTCGGGCCGCCCGGGGCAGAGCGCGCCGTCCCCGCGGCCCCTTCGCCGCCGGAGGGTCCCTCAGGCCGCGGCTCCGGCAACACCCC